ATAAAATATTTGAAAATACAATTTAAACAATGTGATCATTATCTGTTAGAAAGCGGGCTTTGCAAACTCTGGCATTGTTAGTTTCCGCACCTCCTGTTTTTAGCTGTAGATTATTGATCCACTTTTCTTGTTTTTGTTCTGTAAATTTTTTCATAATTAACTCCCTTGTGACCAACTACCTTTGGAAAACAAAAATAACATTTACCTTTCTGTCTATTAAAACAGTTGAACAACTGTACACAACACAGTCATCAGGCATTTTGATGTTGGATTAACAGAAACAAATTGGCTGCATTTACTTCCCGACCCCCATCTGCATTGCGTGACGTTGGTACTACGTCATTTGCAACCTAGCAACGTGAAGAATTAACAAATTGTTGTTACTATAGATGGACTGCTGCTGTGTGATTGGTGGAGGAGTTCTGACACACATCGTCAGTGAAAAGTAACATTTTTGTTCTTACAAATCTAGCCTGTAACTTGGACATTGACGGAAACTGAAAAGATTGAGAACATAGATTGTGCCAGAGAGCCATTTAAGTTTTTGTTGGTGTTAGTAAAAGCCCTTCTTTTATTGACTTGCAATACAACATTATGTACTTTGTGCTTCCCATTATGAGGTGGAAGAGGCAGACCAGATCTTCCTGCTCATGAAGGAGGACTATCGGATATCCAGGAATGTGCGTCTAGCATGGTTTCTCAGGAATTTGAATCAGATCATCTGGCCAGCCTCTACATCTGAATTGGTAAGTTAGTTCAACTTCACAAATAGGTCATGTTTTGTGCCCGAGTTTCTTCCTAATCTATTTTCACATGTTTTCTGTGCCTGTGTGATAAAATTGCATGCAGGATGGGTGCAATCTGCTGGGCCAATCACACAGTAAAAAAATTGTGGGGTATAAATGACTCTGTCATAAGGAAATACTTTATCTTTTAACATATCAGAACCAAATTATCAACCACAGGACTTTGAAACAATTTTTTAAATAATTTTTTATTTCAAAGAAAGAACCAGACTGGCCAAGCTGGTCATGTTACATATCACTATCAAACCTTTTGAATTTAATTACTTTCTTGTGGCTATATTGCGTCTAAAAAATTATTCTACAGAGCATGTAAGGGGACATGGAGAAAAAAAAAGCAATCCCAACTTATTTTCTCACAATCCCGAGAAACTTTCTCGAGATCCCAAATTATTTTCTCGAGAAACTTTTTTGATGAAAGATACTGAAGGTAGTGGAAAAAATAGGTGGACCGCCCCTCAGCCATTTCCTGAATCGGAAAACTTCAGACACAAAATTCAGCTTCATGTCTCTTAGCATAATATCCTAATCTGGGACATCTCTAGACCATAGGTGTCAAACTCCAGTCCTCAACAGCCGCTGTCCTGCAGATTTTAGATGTGCCACAGGTACAAAACACTGGAATGAAATGGTTTAATTATCTCCTGCTTGTGTAGATAAATTCTCCAGAGCCTTGCTAGAAACCTAATTATCCTATTCAGATGTGGTAAGCAGAGGCACATCTAAAAGTTGCAGGACAGTGGCCCTTGAGGACTAGAGTTTGACACCCCTGCTCTAGACCGTAGCAAGCATATCGTCCTCTATGTGTCTTGTTTAGACTTCACCACCACTACCGTCTTTGCTGTATAAACAGCCTTTTCACTCAAAAAAGGAACATGCGATTTTTCATAAAGTTTCTAGGGATCTCGAGAAAATAAGTCGGGATCTTGAGAAAGAAATTCGGGATAGCTTTTTATTTATTTTTTTCTCCATGTCCTCTTACCTACTCTGTAGTAGTATGACTGTATTCTTGTATTTGAAAATAAAAATCTCTTAGCTTGGCCATGAAACTCTGTCATAGTTGCTTTAGTGACGTCTGCACCCATTTTTTTTTCACTATCAAACTTCTCCATCTCTCCCCTATGACAGTGGATGTATTTAACATGTACCCTCTGCTCCGTTTGTATTTTATCTCAACTCATTTTTACAATGCCGCTGTGTAGCTACTTCTACCGGCTTGAACAGGCAGCCAGTTGATTCATTTGAACACTGCTGCCACCTAGTGACCGGAGGCTGTTTATCAGTTAAGCGTGAATACAGACAATTATATAGTACTGCTTCTCGCGCTCCCCGACACTTCGCCATGCGGGGTGGGGTGCGCCTCACTATTTGAGAAGTACCTCTGTAGGGGAATGGAT